TTTTTTTTTTTTAGACCCAAAACCTTTGATTTTGACTCCCATATGTCCAGTTTCCTTAAATCTTTTAAGGAGAAACTGCAGATGATTACAAGATATGCCAAGTTGTCTGTGTTAACCTGAGCAGTGACCTTACTAGTGCAAAAATACTATTTTGTGCCTGTCAAACTTTATTATCTTTGACATTTTTAGTTGATTAAGTTAAAGAAATAGAAACATTTCTTTGACTAAATGTGTTTTTGGGACAGGCTACAAGTTAAAAATGGTTGGGTTCTTTTAGCTGTCTGTTATGTGTAGACAAAATATTGGTTAATCCCTTGAGTTAATCTTTTTTTGCACTTGAAAGATTCAGGTCAGTGTTTATGGCTCAACAAACAAAAACAGTCCTCTGAAAATAATTAGGTTGAACTAAAAACCAGTGGAAAAGCAGCCTCCAAAGAGAAATTGTGAAAGACCTTCAGAAAGCCTGGAAAATGATTCCTCAAGACTACTAACAAGAAACTCTGACTCCCTGGAAGCAAAATATAATAAAATGACTGGCTTGTAGTATAAATGATCTCTGCTTTCTTTCAGAATACTCCAAAGCTAGTCTTTACTGATTTGTTTCTTATTTACTTGAAATCCTTCGAATGCTGCTACATTGTTCTACAGTGCCTACATATTTTATACTCTGTAAATGACACCTTACATTTGTAAAAAAAAAATTACACGGTAAATGCAAATTACAGGTTGCAGTCTACCTGCTTGCTTGTAACAGTAATATTTCTGTGCACATGCACATGCACATAATTCTATGTTTTTATTGTAAAAACAAATAGTTGAAGCTCGTTGTGATCATTAGCATTTTTTCTTGGAGTGGCTTTTACTTGGTGTAGGATTAAACCAGAGCGTGGAGAGACACATTAGCTAGAAGCTTACTAATGTGTCAGGTTATCACCTCAACTTGTGAATTTACATTGTTATAGATGTAAAAGTTACCACAACAAAACAGAACAGTTGTGCTAGTTATCAGATTTTTTCCACTTTCCACATTTGTTTAGAGGAAAAAGTTCAGCTTGTAAGAAACACAGTGCACCTTCTGCTGCTCCCATTGTGCTGTCTGTCCACCTCACAGAGCACAAGGCTTTGTTTTCTGCTTCTCTGTATTAAACTGGCAGCAACCTTACATCAAATTGCCAGAACTGTGGCTGTAAAGTGAGCATGCCCAGGGCTAGACAACGCTTGACAGTGATGAAGGGGAAGGAAAGGCTTTATTTTTTATTTTTTTATCACCCAGTTTGTCCTGACAAGAACAACTAGCATGTAAAATCTTTGTAAAAGGTGTAGGCAGGTGTGCTCTTTCCATCTTTGCCAGGGCAGCAGATTAAGTAGTATACCGTGAGTAGATTGTGATCTATTTTAATGGCTGTTTAAGGATTATAGTATTAAAGTTAGAATGAGGATTTGCCTGTAACTACAGACATTTTCACACCCAAAAGAGTTGAGCCTGAGACCCTAAATGTCTGAAGCAGTCGGATCCGACATTAAGCAGCCTTTACCAGCCAGCTGTCTTTACAACTGTTAAGTCCAGTTTCACTGATGAAGGCTTTCAGCTGAAACACACTTGCTCTGCCCTTTAATAAACATTAAGAAGTATGTTTGTTCAAAAGTCCAGAAGATATGTGAGAAGAGTGCACAAAAAGAAGATTGCACTAATTGCCTGGTGAATTCACACCTCCAGGAAGCAGGACACATGACAGCATGGGGTAGCACTCACGTGGGAAAGGGCAACTTCAGACATTGCCCCAACATGATTCCCTGCACATTTTCTGGGAGTCATGATGGAAAACAGCTTCTGTCTCACACTTGAAGATATGGTTTTTGCTGCCTGTTATACATAAGGCAACAATACAGTGAGCACAGAAAGGAGCAGGTTCATGCTTTTGCATATGAAAAGCAATGAAAATATATTTGTTTGGTAAAGAATAGAGCAGGCTGTATAGCAGCAACAAGCTGTCTGCACATTAATGGGCACACTGCAAACAGTAGATGCTAACAGGCATTTTTGGTGTGGATCTACTGAGCTCACTACCTAACTATATGGCAAAAGTATACTTTCTCAGTTCATTCTCTTACTTATCTTAACGTTGTCTGAGGTGAGATCCACAGGGTCTGACTTTGAATTTAACTAGTAATTACATAACCTCAAATACCCGGTGCGTTACCTAATCCTGGTCCCATGGGTTTGATAATGCATCATGTCAATGGGGGTGTAGAAGTACAAATATGTTTCTATAAATCTAGGATGTTTTTTTGCAAAGAAAAAAACCTCCTACATTATCTCCATCGTGTCTCATATAATATGCTACAGTAAGAATATTTTCTGTTTTTTCTTTTTTTTTTTTACGTGTAGCAAGTAAAGAATAATGAAGAGCTACACTATTATAAATCGACAGAGGCATGTTTTTAATGCCACTACAGCATTACGGATAATGGTTCAGCATTGTGCTTGTGCACTGAATTCTCTGCGCTTGTGCAGATGAAATGGTCAGATTGTTCCTTTGTGAGAATCCTAACCATTCCCCTCGAGAGCTTCATAATGCATTTGCTTTTTAAATAAATTCTAAATCTGGCAAAAGACTGAGTGATTCTTTTTTTTTTTTGCTTGTATTCAGTAAGTGAAGAGAACCAAGGAGGTGAAGTTTGTTGTCTGTGTGTGTAAGATGGGGCTGAATTTAAATCACGCTTTGTACTTTTGCTCACACCAAAAACATGCAGGAGACCGAGCAAACACGGGAACATCTGTACTGTGTGTGACAGTCCAGCCCGGTGATAATAACGCTGTCAGACTTCGCAGCAACTTGTCCACCATGAATTCATTAGAGAAAGGAGAAGATGAGATTCTTTTGTGTATTTCCCGACCTGAGTGGAGGGTTGCGTGATTACCTTGTCATGTTTTGATGTGCTACCGCCACTGGCTTGTTAACTATAAGATGCTGGATAATGAACCAAGAGCTATTCTCTTCCACATTTGACACATGATTTCTTGTGCATTCATCATTTCTTATGGATTTTCTTGCTTCCCTGTGCGCTTTAGTGGGAATGACACTACCATAGAAAAGATGTCTGACTTATAAAATAAAATTACACCGCTACAGTGATACCAAGGAGCAACACAGGGCTAATGTGTTATGTGTTCAAATCAGAGCAGCAACATTACACACGCAATGTCAGGAACCTACTGTGATGGTGGATTTGCCGGCATATTTCCCATACTTGAGCAACAGAGGTTTCACCATCTTCTTTTGGGCCACTATCTGCAAAGAACAAGATAAACAAAACGTTTGGCCTTGAGCCCTCAGCAGCAAACAGCAGTATATAGAGATCTGAGCCTTTGGCATCACTAATAAGTATGAATCATTTACTGCAAGCGGTGCAGCAAATATACACCATTTACCAATAAAGACAAAAGGGGGCATGTTTTAGTGCTTTTACACAAACAAATCCCAGTTATTAGACCACAAATCTGGAGCTACAGCTGGCAAAAATGGGTTAGTAAGACAGCAGCATCTCCTTACCTGGCCAAGAGTGCACTCCACCCCTCCCAGAAAGTCATCATCACGGGTTCCGATGCTGTGAGTGCCGTGGATGTCGTAAACCTCAAATCGCAGTTTCTGAACTTCCTCGAAGTAGTAATCCAGCGAGAAAACCTTGCCAAAGACTGGGTGCAAGTTGCTCTTGATCACTTCTGTCCTGTCCAGCTGAGAGAGAACATGCTGAATGAACTTTTGAATGTCAACACTAGTTTATCTAATGTTCCTAATTATGACAGACTGTATACATTTGGTATGAAATGAAGCCCCCCCCCTTTGACAGATTGTATCTTATAGCGTTTTACATCGCATGTAAGAAACAGAACCAGCTTCTTTTTCAAAGAAGGGCAGACGTTATTATGTTTGTCATGAGGATGATACGAGAGATGATTGGAGGGCTCTGACATTTAATCTCAGCTTAGAGGAAACATCCATGCTTGTCTTTGACTGCCTGACAAGGAAAAGCTGATCTCTCTGGGGCCCCATCTGTTCGTGATGTAGAATTTAGCTCTCACACAGTTCCATGAACATTTCCACACTGCCCAATTTGTCACAAGGACAAATCATCATTGAGCATTTTGAAGTCAACAGCGCTTTAGTACTGGTAAATTTAACAAGAACAATAAATATACACAGGAAAAAAAACTGCCACTAATTTCCAAGATTAACCAAATGTGCGTGGATAAGCGATGTTTGGGACTTAAAGCTAAATGTGTAAATACTGAATGACCCAGAAGGGAAACGACCCACCAAAGTGCATTATATGGAGCTGATCTATCAGCAGCAAATGAAGGACTGGGGAAGGTTTAAGTGCTCATCCAAACGTAGCGGCTTCAATGGCATTCGTCTACGACACAGTCCAAAGTCATTTCTTCATTGTCAGCGGGGCAGGTCCACACTTTGCTTTTGATTACTTTACAAACGGTTGACAGTGTTTTCCCATTTCTCATCTCTCGCTTTGGGAGAGTCTATAAGCTGAAGGACTGAACTGGAATAAAAAGCGTGATTCCTGCATCACGCACAACATCTTATACATCTAATCTACAAATCAAAGCACAAACATCAAGCAAATATCTCAGATCACAAGCCAACAGCTTCTTGTAATCGATTTTCTTGGTCCTTTGAAAGGTATTTCTTCATTTTGTGATTTTTAGAGTGATGCCAGTCTTCCAAGATCTGTGGAAAAATATAATATTTATACATTTAAAATGGTATTTTTCTTCCTTTTGAAGCCACTTAGGGTTTTTATAAATATTATGCCAAAGAATAACGATGCTGTCAACATAATTGGAACTGAAGCTTTCCTCTTGCGTGCTATATATATTAAAGCATAATCTTTGCCACAGTGAATGATGGACTGTCTTCATCGTGACAAGGTGTGCATAAGCCGTGACACTTTCTTCATGGGGGAACATTATGGGAAATCATTAAAAAGCCTGCACAAGACATCAGTCAGCACTGAGGGAAGGAATTTGCTTTCTCTTGCAAAGCCTTTCACAAATAAACTCATACATCAACATTTAAGGTTATTCTTGGTGGCATTTCTCAGACATTTGAATGGACACCGACGATATTGAACAGAATATTGTGAATGTTATAAAACTTCCTCGTCATCCTTTTCAGTGAATCCTCGCACGCAGTAAACAGAGTTGTTACCAACCTGGAAGAAACCCACTCATATTTGTGAATAGAAATGTTTCATTGTAGGACAATAAGGATGACTCAGAATAACTTGAGCTGAGCCCTCCCTCCAAGGAGACCCAAACCACATAAAGCCTCCCACCTACTCGGAAGCATCTTTATTGGTGCCACTTTACATGATAAAGAAGGGCATGGGCCTAAAACACCCATGCACGAATAATTCAACTGGAGTCCCGATAGTCCTGATGGGGGTTTTGTGCTTTTTTATGTGAACAAATAAGAAAAATTGTAGGCTTTTTTGGTATTTGGACACACATAAAATGTTAAATTGTGCCTAGAGATAAAGGTAGTATTCAACCTCAACATCAATGGGCGTGCCATTCTTCTGCCAAAGAAAGAAAGAAAGAAAGAAAGAAAGAAAGAAAGAAAGAAAGAAAGAAGGAAAGAAGGAAAGAAAGAAAGAAAGAAAGAAAGAAGGAAAGAAAGAAAGAAAGAAAGAAAGAAAGAAAGAAGGAAAGAAAGAAAGAAAGAAAGAAAGAAAGTAGGGCAATGAAGCTATAATTGCCCCTTTTGGCAGAAATGACCTCTTAGGGTATTTTGCACAGTTGCGAATCAGTGTCTGAGATCAGAGTTTTTCAATGTTCGAAAAAAATTTCTTCAGCTGCAAGATGTTTTCTTGCTTGCGCTTTCTCCATTCCTTCTTTCCGAGACGTTCCTTTATTGATTTGTTGGTGCGTCTAGGATCATTATCCTGCTGAAAGGTCCACTTCTGGTTCAACTTCAGCTTTTGGTCTCATGTTATCTTCAAGCACTTTTTGGTATGATGCAGGATTTTTACTTGAATCAATGACTGTAAGCTGCCCATTCCCTAAGGCACCGGGGCAGCCCCACGATATAACACTTCCACCATAGTTGGTATGATGTTCTTTTTCTGAAAAGCTGTGTTTGGTCTTTGCCAAACATGTCTGTCTAGAGCATAGTCTTTCACAAAGCCCGGTGTTTGCCCTTTGTGTTCCCTCGCAAACTGCAGCTTTGCTCTAATGTACTTTATGGACAGCAAAGTGTTCATTGCATGTTTATTTGTTTTGTTTTTCCCTGCCGTGCCTCCTGGGCAGGTCAAATCTCACTGTAAATGCAGGAAGTTTTAACACAAACACTTGCAAGTTCTTCTCTTAGGCTGAATTTTGCATGATGACATTTCACATTTCATTTGCATGTAAACACCAGAGTCACTGTATAACCTGTTAGCGCCCAGTGTATATGAGTTTCCACAATGTTTTAATTGTATTCTAAATTATTTTAATTGTTAATTTTAAGCAGTAATTTTTTAAAAATGCTGGATGTAGCAAATATAATATAAATTAAAACTCATATATGCAAATTGTTGTTTTAATTGTCTGAAGATTTAATTTAAAAAATCAATTGTCAAGACAATTCTGGTAATTATTTAATGTTTTGAGCTTTAAAGGGTTAAATAAGTCACATTCCACCTGTTACTCCCTGTCTTGTGTACACTCTAATCATTGGAGTTTGTTCTGATACTCACATTTTCAGTGTGAATAATCGACTCTGCTTTATTCATTTACATTAATAATGTAAACATTTTGTGTTATTTTTGAGGGGTGGAGGTTTTATCTGTAGACAGAGGATTACATGAGGCCAACCATTTCCATTTTATTTACTTGCTTTTTGCACAAATATAATATAACTGATCAATTGTCAGTTTTTATCTTATTTTCCTCTATTTTTGTAATTCAGCTCCAGGTTAGTAATTCAAGGGAAAAAAAGATGTACTTGTTTCTAAACATATATCAGACTTCTAGATTAATAACCAGAATAGCTGTCTGGCTAACGGCAATAATAAAAAGCAGGTGTTGCTTTATTGTTTCAAAGCAAGCAATGCAAAGAAAAAAAAATTACCAGCTCAGACTTGGCCTCCTTTGTCACATTTACTCCTATTTATTCTTTACTGGCCTTTCTTGCCTATTCTTTCTCTCTTTGTGCCATCTGGATGGACAGATTTGGGATGAGTCTGATGAGTCTGTTTGTTGATAAAGGCTAATCAGAGCTACATAGGGTAGTTTGTGCTAGTCTGTGTGTGACGCCTGTTTGCTTTTGGTGTGGGGCCAGAAACTATAAAGAGATTCCTGATATGGGAAATGCATTTCTATAATCAGTGCATTATTTAGGCTGCTTTATCATAACAAATACATGCAGCTTAAATTAGAGATCGAGTTTTGGGAATAACTAGTTTTCAGAGAAGCGTACAGGGTCCAGTTTACGTAAGAAGAGGACAAATCTGCGAAAGCAGCACATGTCATGTGATCTTCAACCTGCCTCCTAATTTGCCCCGTGAGCAGGTGGTGAAAAAAGGTAATAGTGGAAATATGTGCAGTTTAAAAAGCCACTGGGGCCACGCAGCATGAGCTTAGATGATAGGAAGAGCGTGATATGGTGGCGATATGAGTGGGCTCTGCTTCTTACTCAGTTGTTGACGTAAGTAAACAATTTGCAGACGGGATGGTGCCGCCCAGAACTGAGGGATTTGACAGCAGAGCATTGGACAACTGGTGAATACTGTTATGATTGTCAAGACTCGGGTGGATAGATAGATAGATAGATAGATAGATAGATAGATAGATAGATAGATAGATAGATAGATAGATAGATAGATAGATAGAGCTGTAGTGATGGCGCTATTATTTGATTTTTTTGTCAAGCATATGCTTCAGTTAGTGCAGCTAAAAATAGCCACTCATAAATTCATGCACATTGAACCCAGGTTAGTCATCTCATGTAACACCCACCCATCAAATTAAATCCAAGACAACTTCAAAGCAAGTTTTTATCGTCCCCACCTAAAAATAGCATCTCGAGGTTTCCACATTCATATAGCCCAAACATTAATGTGCGCACCTCCAACAAATGACTCCCATGTGGCCGGAATCTGTCAGGGTTAATCATCTCCCATTTCCCTGAAAACAGAGCCTTTTTCTAGATGAAGGGTTGCAGGGGAAAAAAATCTATATAATTAGATATCCTCTGCCACACATTAACACATCCTCTACTTAACGGAAACCTGCCTTTTGGCTCTCCCTCACGAACTAAATGACTTAATTAACAGGGAAATGAGAGAGCCGCTGCCTACACTTCAGATCAGCTTGGGACCAAACCAAGAAAGTAAACATTTTCAGCTGGAACACATCTCATCATGCTGCAAATTACCAACCCACTGTTTACCCATGTAGACAAGTGAATTATACTGCACATAATGTGAATCCTACAGGGCAGCGAACACAATTTGTGTGCGAGTTGTTTTAATTGTGGAGACAGACAGTGATGACTGCAAATGTATACTCCATCTGACATTTTCAATTCTGAATCAGGCATCTGTTGTGTAAGCCATGCTCTTTTCCAAAAGAGCAAAGAAAAATAAATAAATAAATAAAAAGAAAGGAAAAAAAAATAAAACAGCTGCAAGTTCACCAAACCATTAACAGATTTATCTCCCTGGTCGATCATGTATGACTACACAGATTTTGTGACGACTGGAGAGAGACAGAGAGAGCAATATCACTCCCAATCTACAACATTTCACACATGACCAATCTTTAATCTTAGGTTTGTGATACAAGGAGGGAAGAGAGCAAGTCTCCTCTGTATTTCCCTGTGCAATTAACATTAATAACATTAAGAAAACACGTTATTTAAATCACCTCTAGAGCCTGCATTTGAATATTTCAGCTCTCTTGATGTGTGAGTCAAGACTTCAATTCTTGAAATAATGCAGGTAATGACTCAGGCGGGGAGATTAATAAATGAAGGTGGACTGCTAAGTAAGGAGATATTAGTCACACTTTTCCCTCCCAGAGGCTCACCTGTACATGTGCCAGTACTGAAGAATAAAATGAGGTCTCACCTCTATCCACTGTCCATCGTTCTGTACCATGAGTATGACGCAGGGGTCAGACTTATTCAGAGTGTCTCGGTCCAGCAGAGCTTTGCAAGACACGCGCAGCTCGACTTTGGTGACACAGGTAGCTGGACCGCTGAGGCTGGTTGCAGGGGAGGTGGCCTCCAGAACATCATTCATCCTGGCTCAGGGCAAGAGAGATCTGCCAACCAGCGAAGCAGTGCGAGGAGAGGCTGTGGTGTAGCTCTGAGGGATGGAAAAATCCAGTGATAGGTTGAGGGATCTCGGTAAAGACGTGGCACTCTCACAGGAGACGGGCCCTTTTGACTTGGTACAGCTGTCAAAAAAAGAAAAACAGAGATTCTTGCTGAGTGTCAGGGGACCAAAGCAAACTCAAGCTGTTATTGCTGCCTGTCAGAGCTGTCCCCCCTCCTGAGGGTTATCATCTCACCTTGGTAACAGCGACAGAGAGGGCATGAAGATGGCAGGGTTGTGCCTTTAGGAGTCTAGTTCATATTCCTGCAAAAATTCGTTTAAGATGATCAAGCTGAGTGCCACCTCTTATTCTAACGAGCTTTATTACAATATTTAAAGGGGGGGAGAGCCCACCTGTATCAAGATTTCCCTGTATTTTCACTATTTTATCCTGTTTCAAGAACTGAATATGAGATGGCTGATGCGTTTAAAGGATTTAAAGTGCATTTCCTCCTAATAAACAACAAGCAAATAAGTGAAAGTAGATGGAAAGAATCATGGATCCAAAAAGGCAATGGGTTTAGCAGGTAGTAGTCAAAGAAAGGACTTTGATGTGTTTAATGTGGGCAGCATACGCCCTGCTTAAGTGTCCTTGAGCACGGCGGTTTCGCACAACTAATAACCCCCCTAAATGCTTTAAAGGTGGGGCTGTAATTTCCTCTAATATCCCTGTAAATGTGACATCCTCATAATTCAAACGAAGAAGTGCAGCGCACTCGGCGCTTGGCTTTCAGCACCGAGGACAGCGCCCGTACGCGTCTTTCTCAGCCAGTTGTGAAACCACATGTTATCTCAAAGCATGAATCTGAACTCCAGAAAGCTCAAAACAGAGCCAGCATCAAAGGCTCCCAGATACGACCGAGCGCGTGTTATGAATCAAACTTCTACTCAATCCACCGGTGAAATTTACACGTAAGGCGGAAGGCTGCCCAAACGCGGCTAAACGGCTACTTCACACTTTATCCCGGTGAATAAACGCCACCGCTCATCTGCAAGCTTCAAAACCCAACACCGGTCAAGGCTCAGGAGGGCAAAATAACAGCAACAGTTAAATAAGAGTTAACGCGTGGAGCGAACAGTCTACTTTCACAGCCTCATTTATCGCTGGCTCATCTGACTCACTTCCGAGACTATTTGCAGCTGATCAAAAACTCAGCGGCACTTCACCAAACCGATAAACTGCGCTTACAGTCGGGTTAAGCGGGAGACTCACTTCCTACCTGAAGCTGTTTCTCTTCTTTAGCACACTTGTTTAATCCGCTCCCATAACACACTGCTTGATTTTTGTTTTCTCCGCCGAAACTCATTGGCTTAGACTGGTGAGGAGGGAGTAGGCTCGGCTTGTAGGGATGGGGAGTGGAGAGAGTCCAGCTGCTGATGTAAGGGATGGGCTTTTCGTTGGGACTCGATTATTTTGAGTTCAGTTAGAAATCGAGACCATAAAAGAAAGAGGTAGCGAAAAGAGGCTGTGGGAAAATGCTGGGATCTGGAAGCTCAAAACCTGAGGTGGAGACGTGCGTAGATTTTGAGTGATTTAGTTAAATTCTTGTCTATAAACACAGGCATAGCATTATTTTCATGTTAAACCCGCCTCCATAAGGTGTCGCTCATTTCTATCTGCTAATTCTCTGCTGCCTTTGTGGATTTTGGACCAGGATTTAGACAGATATGCAATTCAGATTGTTTTCCAACACAATACTACTGTTTGTGGCCAAATGTTCAACTAGTTATTACAGCAGCCTCCCCGCTCAGGATTAAGTTGCTTACTGAAGATTATGAGGATAGAAAGAGCAGGATGCACTGAAATATGTGAAAAAGAGAGGCGGAAAGACGCTTCTTTATGCAAGCTGAACTGCATGCAGTATTTGTGTTTTTTCTTTATTTTCTATACTGCAGTGGTAAAAATAATGTGGTTAGCGTATGTGCAAGTGACCTCTGTGAGCTGAAGCTCAGGCTTCGGGCACATTACCGGTTTTATTTTTCTTTCTACTCTTTGATGCTCTGTGATGTTATTGAGGGTTGACATCCTGAAAGTGGCCATTTCAGGCACACAGATCTGGCTTTCAGAACAGAAGCCCAATCCTCTTGCTTTTCTGTTTGGACAGGGGCTGACCGAAAGGGAAGGTGGCCTTAAGCATGTTTCAGACAGAGCATGAACTGATGGGCTGTAGCAAGGAAGAGTACATGAAATGAAAATTTTGGAGTCAACAGTGAACACAATAGTGCCCCTTTCGCCATCCTCCTCTGCGTGTTTGCCATTTACGGGGCCGTCTTTCAACAGAAACCATTCATTCTGCACTGAGATTCATCCTTTTAGTAGTATTGTCAGCTTTTAAACAGACATACATAAAACTGCAAGAGGAAGTTCAAAAGAACTGCTCATCCAGCAGCAGCGCATCGCAATCAAATCTCCGTGTGGACGCTGCAGACAGCTAGAGGCAGGTGACTTTTCTACCTTTGCTAAATACACACATGCACCCACAAGTAATAAACAATATGCGTCCACGCACGCACAAATGCTCCAAGTCACGTGTAAAGTTGCCTTCAGTAAAAATGACAATGAATTGATTCACAGAGTGGTTTTTCAATCACTTGACAGCTGTGTATGTTATATAATGTATTGTTTCTACACTGCGTCTATGCTTGGACCTTTTCACAGTCCACCCACAAATGTATTATTTTCCTGAATGTATTTCCAGATATTGCATAACATTCATACATGGCGCTGACAAAAAAACATCAGCTCTCGAGTTTCTGCAAAACAGCACTGAAGGCCGTGAGAGACAAAGCAGTTGACGAAACCAGAGAAAATGTAAGAACTCAAAGTAAGAGTTTAGTTCGAGCTGTCTGAAAGCAACTTGTGCAGCTGGCTGTTAGTTATTGTGGCAAAGTGAATGACAAAAGCAAAGTGTAGGCTTCACATTTTAACATTTTATTCCAGAAGCTTTTTAAACCTCACGGTGCTAAAATGTCCTTCGGATACGTGGAACATTCTTTGCTTTCATTTGACTTGCGTCGCATTAAAATCTGGTCTTTATATCAAGAGGATATGAGGCTTTGAGAGGCTTTCAAAGCAGATGGGCAAGTCAATAAAATCATTCCAGCAGCATGAGATATAAAACATTTGGCTCCCTGCTTCTAATTAACTACTCTGCTGAGATGATCACCATGTTACTCATTCAAAGTAAATAAATAAAAATGCACACGCATTGCTCTCAGGTTGATTTTACGTGTGAAGCACTTCAGACAAAAGAAGCCTGGATCAGCAGCCAGTGTTTAACGCGCGCACACTGGCTGCTTTCCGATAGAGGCAGATCTCTCCTGGAGTTTTCACCCTCACTGCCTCTTCTTCCATGGGTATTCAGAGGTGGTATTAAGCGTCTGCTTTGGGGCACACACCTGAGCCCTGTTACGCCACAGCTCCAAACAACGACCATCTGCTGCTGCTGCTGCTGCTGTGTCGGTTGAGCACCTCACAGGACGTTCCCTGCGTTTACACATGGATTATCTATTCCGAGTCCCCCTGCTGCTTCTCCCCAGTCACATTCAGTGCTTGCCTTGGTGCTGCTGACCACATTGCATGTACAATAACCCAAATAGGAGGATCTCTACACATGGTCTGGTGCACTCAGATTTTTTTTTTTTAGTCTAGTCAAGCTCCCTCAGTGCATTTCTGTAAAATTTTCCACCAGCAGCTCCACTGAGTGGAGGTATTTCTGTCCACAGGAAGGTTTTTAGAGGGTTTCAAAGACATTATTGATTCTAAAGTTTTCTTACCGGTGATGGAAGTTGCTATCTCCAGGCGTCATGTTTGACTCATTTTAACACTGTGGTCAAAAAGGTTGCAGTTCTCCTTTTACAAAGGGTAAACCATAGAGAAGCTGACACTGCGGATGCTCAGCCTCACTGACTGCAATTGGACGTCAAACAGTCAATGTGAGATGTTTTGTTGAGCAGCAAAAAAAAGAAGACATTCAGCTCTCCATGCTACAGTTATAGATTAAGGTGAGACAGGGATATGGATTTATTCTTTAAAAGTGTATCTGAGGTAGTGAGTCTGTGATTACTTGCTCAATAAAGGAGTTAAAGGGATTGTTAAAGTTGTTAAAAGAATTTCTGTCCATCAACTTAAAACAAAGTCACTCATCTCTGGGCGGCTTTTTTATGATCTGGGGTACATTGACTTAACAATCTTCTCCTGCCCGGTGGCTGGGCCCTCTATCCTAATCCACAGGATGGGTGAAATGCAGGGATTGAGATTCCCGGCAGAAATCAATAAGAATATCTATATTTTGTTAAGCATTTAATGCAGCATTGTAAAACAGAAAATTCATCCCAGTGGCCATTAATGAGACACGGTGATAGTTGAATGTGTCCATCCTGATTCAATGACTACACATAAATGGCAGATAAGCCATTTAGTTGGGGTAGCAATATTTCTAAAGTCTTTTTTTTTCTCTGTGTATCGGTTATTTTTGCAAAACCCTATCATACGACTAACAGGACCATCCATTTGAGCTCCTATCAGCCATATCAATCACCCCTGTCCAACCAACCTGACTGTCCACTCACCTTCATCAGCTGAATTATTTATGGACGTCCAGACCGCGGGACCACAGAGACACTCTAAGGAGACTCAAGGGCACGGAGTCCCCACATCCTGCTTTTTTATTTCCAGCTTGTGTACGTTGACATGCTGAGCATACAGAATCTTTGACACTTTCCTCACAGTGTAGTGAGTAATGCATTAGAGGCAGGAAATCTCACTCCATCAGCGAGATTTTGTGTTGTTCTGCTCCGGTGTTGTTTTGTATATTTATTCATTTCACTTTATCAGAACACCCACAGAACACAAAATGCAAAATGTGCAGAGCCTCGGCTGTAATAGCAAGGCTTTACATAAGTCTTGGTTCATGCCTGCCAGACAAAAGTCGAGAATTTAACATTCAGCTGTTTTCCTGCAGGGGGTCAATGTAAAACTTTCCAACTTTCTTTCTTTCTTTTATTACCGTCCACCTCTCCTGACCTTCTTTCCGGGCTTTTGTTGATATCCACTCACCTTTGCATTACCATGCTGTAAATAATATACGGGTCTTTTAATATTTTGGCAATCAGTTTTTTCAGAGGATCTTCCTGGCTTAAACCCTGCTTTAAACTTGAGTTTTGTTTTGTTTTTTTGTTTTTGGACCAGAAAGAAAAAAAAAAGAAAAAACTGAAGGATTTAACTGCAGTATTTCCCACTCCTGAGTTACTGATACGCTGATTAAGAGTCTTAAATTATCAAGTTTGACACATTACAAAAGATAATATTAATTTAGAAAAATTCGATTTATTTGACGTCTGCATCAATGATCTACATGTTGTACCTACAGTGCCCCCTACTGTTGTAAATGCGTCAGTTATACACGCTGAACCAAATTTAGAGCAAGTTCACAGCTGCTGCACTACAGACAGATGTGTCCCAGTGTTGTACTGGGGACTGGTCTCTCAACTTTTAACCCCACCAATCTACTCTGCAGCTGACCAGGACTCATAAATGTAATACAAAAAAGTAAAATAATTGAACTTTAACACAAGTCACAGATGTGAATTGTATACACACACACATAGAAAAACATATTTAGTATACACATCCAGTGATGCATATACTATTATATATTGTACATATATTTATTAGTCTCAGATTTAGCCATTCTTATATTTTGCTTGTTTTATGTTATTTTATTTTTGCACGACTCTGCTGCTTGTGAAGCTCGCACACAAGAATTTCACTCGCATGTACTGTACCAGTGTACCTGCACATGTGATGTGACAATAAAAGTGATTTGATTTGATTTGAATTAAATGCCGTGTGGGTTGTTTTTAGTATCCACATATCTTACTGCCATCCAAAGCACCTGCTGGATTAAGACCCTATCAACAGACTATTGATTTTGTTTTTTTTAAATTGTACAATCATGTTTTTGGATTAACTTGTGTTTTCATAGATGTTTGAATCTTAGTGCCAAAACTGGGTTTCTTTCTCCTCTCATTATAATGCAAAAACTTGTAATATATTCAGATCCAGCATATTGTCACGTATCAGCCAGCAGTCTTAACCCAACAGCTATTTTAAACTGATTTTATACCATCTATGAAATGGACTGCCGTGAAGACATCCTCCAAGGTTCTGACATTTTTTAAATATTTGATTAGAATACATTTATCTACCGAGTTCTTCCTTCACTCGTGCTCTCCAAGCACCTCTCCAGGTTTTATGAAATGCAACCTGGTGGTGTTCGTGTGTAATGTTGCTGACAGAGACGCACAACTTGGCTCTCTCCTTGAAG